AAGACTTTACATCATGGGTAATGCAGATAGCTGGAACACTTTTCTTAAATGTACTGTACTTAAATGTAATGTATTTAAATGAGTAACAAGGTGGGTGGTTTTTATTGGAGATAGTCCTCTGCATATGTTCTTTTTTGGCTCAGTGCTGATTGGGGGAGAGGCACGTCTCTCACCATTGGTACCACAAACCAGGAGTCGCTGTGCTGTTCGTTCCCAGCTCTGCTTTCAGCGGTCCTCAGTCAATTCGGAAAATCCCGGTCACTGTCGACCAGTGACATAGCCCAAGCTCAAACCTATGATGGGTGATTCCCGTTACTGGTCTTTGAAGGAGTATCTCATTGTGAAGAGACTCAGCTTCTCATATTTGATGGGAATGGGGAATTGAAAGATTTCTAGAGAGTTTCCACACTGAGTGCTCACGTTTCAGCCAGAATGAAAAAAAAAAACAACTTTTTTCCCCACTGGATGAAAGTTCCTGCTCCAAGTGTGTAGGTTGAACTTATAGCATCGCGAATTCGAGCTTGTGTTATCTCACTAGCCGACTCTGACCAGGATCCCCCAACCCCAGAGCAGGATGGGATGGGTCAGACAGGGCAACGTCGGCTCTCAGTGACACAGTGGCCCCTGCAGTCTCCTGGGCACCTGCAGGTTTGCAGCGCTGTTAGTGAGGGAGGAACTTCTCCCCCGATCGACACAACGTCATTCTCTGTATGTGTCGTTGCAGTGTTTGTAACTGTCAGCCAAGGCATATGACACACAACTGGTGCTACCAGACTGTATTTCAAGACACTTTCTTGAAACCTGGAACGATTCTTCATGCTGTTCTCTGCACTTTTACTATAAGGCTATAATATCCTTTTTGTGATGCAGTGACCCAAACTGAAGACAATCCAGATAAAGACTTATTAATGTGCTGCGAAGCTTGAGCCTCAAGCCTCAAGCTTAGGATATACTTTTCCTCTGTACATCTGTAAAACAAAGGCTCTGTTGATATGAACTGGCAATTACCCATACTGTATGTGGCTTGATGCTGGAGGTTTTTGGTACAAATTTTAAGTGAGTTATGTGTTTTGTGTACTGTTGCAAATACATTATACGTATCAGTTCCTCCTTCTTATTGCTTTTTCTACTTCTTTTAGAAACACGATAATATGCATTGTAGCTTCCATTACTGTTATTATAGTGTCTCTACTTGCTTTGCTTAAGTTGAAGATTAAGACGGCTGTACTGTAGATCACCCCCCGATGGCATTTATTTGCAAAAGTGTTCTTATGAAAAGAAGTACAGCTAGCTTACAGTTTTCAGTGTTACACCTGGTTTCTTTTGTCTGACGAATTTTTCTCTCTTTCCTTGTCTGTGTGCTGTTTTGTATTTGGAGTTTTATTTTTGCTCTGTTTTGCAAACTTAAAACCAATAGAATAAAACATGTTATAAAATCACCGTCAGTATTTATTGCAGGATCTTAAATGTTTTTTTATTATTGGAAAATATAAATGTAAAATATATGAATAGACTCAGAACTCCCAAGCTTTACCTTTTTCACTGAATGCATAACTGGTAAAGTGCTCTCTACCCACAACACTGCATTATGTGTAGGTAAAAATAAACGAAAAGCAAAGCAAATTTCACTGTCACTGAAAATGCCCTGCTGTCACTTCTTTAGGGACTGGAATAACCTGCAGCAGTTCAGTATTTTAGCACGCTCTTAAGTAGGTGGACTGTTATTTTTGCTAGCTGCAGTTCTATTTAAACCACAGCCCTGGTAACTGGCCACATAATATAAACTTTCACCGCAGGTGGCTGGATTTTATTGCCAAACATGAAAAAGCCTGTTCGGTCAGGCCGTTGCTTCAGGACCGGGAAAGGAATAAAGAATGGTACATTGCAGTGGTATTTTGAAAAGCAGTCTTTGTGCAAAACTGTCTTGTTTTATGTGTTTTGAGGTTGGATCCCAAAATGTCAGCATATTTAGCACCCGACGTGCAGTTTTGTAGTTTTTATGCAGGATTATTAATGATTGTCCTACTAAACTTCAACCCCAAAAATAAATAGATTGTTGGAGCCGATACCCTGGTTTCTTTCAAGATCTGACTGGATGACTTTCTTGGATCATTTAACTACTAACTGCTTCTACTCGTTTGTAACCTTAAGACCGATGCATAGGGTCTCACTTTTTTTTTAGTTTTTTTTGTTTATACTTTTAATTTTAACAGTACTGCGCCTTGCATAATTCTTTAATTCAAAGAGGCCAGATGGTTAAGGAACAGGACAGATCTTAACAGCTACCTCATGATTCAGGCAAGCTGCTGCCACAGATTCAGGAGCTTGTATGTTTGAGGTATTGTTGGTTATGGTTGTCCCTTTCTTCAGACCCAAAAACTCTGCTGTATTCAAATGGATGGCGTGAGAATGGGTATTTGGTAAAAGTCATTAGAGTGTGTTTACTTCTGTCAAGACAATGACTCTTAAAGGGTTAGTACTGTTACTTGGGTCAGACAATTCCTTGTTCCTAGTTGATTTAAAAGGAGATGCAATGCTAACATTATCTCACATGTATATGTTGTCTTTCACAGTACAAAATATAGTTTGGAAAAAAGCAATTTGTATGTTATTTGTAAGAACAGCCCTATGGTAAAACTGTCCTTCAACCCCACCCCTTACATCAATTAACTGTATGATGTTGACTTTCAGCAATATGCAACAAATTGTAAAAAAAAAACTAGTTCAGCTTAGCTGCAGTGAACTATGTCAGCAAGCAGCAGGTAGGGTGTGATATAGAATATCAAGCAAATATGATAAGAATCTTTAAGGTACGATTTTAAACCCTATGTGGTTTGGGTCTCATATGTTGGCCATTCCTGAATTTATGAGACAATAAATTTCATTTTGAACTTGAGACATTGTAAGTCTGCTGCATTGAGGACCTGAGAAATCACTGCTTGAATAATAGTACAAAAAGTACTCTTTACCACTGCCTCATTGCAAAAGATATATAAAAATGATGACACCCACAAATTAAGTCAGTGCCACCATGTGATATAGCCGCTGTTGCTTTGTATTATAAAACCCTAACAGGAGACTTTCTAAAGGCTAAGTTAATCAAAATTAATCAATTTTATTGAACACAATTACAATTATTTTGCTTGTAAATATTTAGGTTTTAATGCTGGTTTCACTTATTATTATATTATATCAAATGGAATTGTTTATTCCAGTGCAATTGTTTTTTTTAACAAGTTACTGTACTTTGTGAGCTATGAGCAAGAATTCAAGCTGTATTCATATTAACAAGACGTTTTCTCTACCAATACGCTCACCTTGTAGACTGAGTTTACAGCTCTTAATAGGTTTTATCTGGAGGAGTCAAGGAGCTGGTCAAAGCAGCGTGTAACCAATAATGTAATTTATGTCAGTGACCTTAATGTGTTCCATGTGCCTGGATCTTCAAAGACAGGAAAGGTTGCGGTTTTACTTTAAGGATCACTTTCAATGTGCCGGTGTTTCATCTGAATCATTTCCTCGAAGAAATGGATTTCGTATTCAGAAAGATATCGGCTAGCCCCGAAACAGTGCTGGTGGATTGCAGTAGGCTGCTGTCTGCCCTGGTGGATACAGTAAATGTCTCGCTAAAACCAGTGGGCTTTCCTTTTGCAGCTAGGGGGTCTTTGATTCGACCAGATATCCTGTGTTTTGAGTGTATTTTCTTTTAAATGTTTGGATGAAAGAGTAGCACAGTGGACAGCATTGCTGCCTTGCAGCTCTGGGGTCCTGGGCACAGTTCCTGGAGCGCTGTCTATGTGAAGTTTGTACAGTATGTTCTCCCTGCATTCATGTGAGTTTCCTCAGGGTGCTCTGGTTTCCTCCCACAGTCTAAAGGCATACTGTATTGGTAGGTAAATTGTCCCTTGTAACGAACAGTTCTTTCCGGACCCTATGCGGACGACACAATCCAACGGAGTGGGGAAACACTGGGGAAACGTCATGCAGGAAAACGGGGCTGAAGACAGGGGGGCGTGTCCAAGGTGCGCTGGTGCACGGGGGAGGTGTGGCCGAGGCGAACAATCCGAGAGAGTAGTCCTTAGGGAATATCCAAAACGCAAGGGTAAGTCCAAAACCAGAAGATCCATCAGAACAAGGAATTAAAACCACGAAGGCCGGGTCGGAACCGGCGGACAGGGAACAGGAACGGGAACCGAGATTAAAACCTTAACGGGACCAGGCGCTTCCAGGTCCCGGACTCGCATGATACGGAAATCAGATGCAGAGCCCGGATGAGCGTCAGCGCCTGGCTTTTAAGGTGGGCTGGGAATGGGAATCAGGTGTGCAAAATAAAGTCTTAAGTGAAAGGGCTGGAGCACCCTTAAGGAGGGGGGACTATAATCGTGACATCCCTGGTGTAAGTGTATGTGTTTGTGTGAGCCCTGTGATGGACTGGTGTCCTGTCTAGGGTGCATCCTGCCTTCTTGCTTGCTGGGATGGTCTCTGGCTCCCCTGCAATCCCGTATTGGATAAAACAGTTGGAAAATGGACGGATATATTGACATACCGCATGAGTCATTTAATTTAGTGGGCTTAAAGTTCATCACTGAGTAATCACTGTCCTCAAAGAGGTTTTCCTTTAGCTCTCCGTGGGGTGTGTCAGTGTGTCTGTGGGCGGAGCGGTGGCTCTGTGGCTCAGGATCTGCGCCTGTGACTGGGAGGTTGCCGGTTCAAATCCCGCGGCCGGCAGAGGAATCCTACTCCGTTGGGCCCCTGAGCAAGGCCCTTAACCCTAACTGCTCCAGGGGCGCCGTACAATGGCAGACCCTGCGCTCTGACCCCAAGCTTCTCTCCCTGTCTCTGTGTCTGTGTCTCCATGGAGAAAAGCTGGGGTCTGCGAAAAGACGCATTCCTAATGCAAGAAATTGTATAGGGCTAATAAAGAAACATTATCATTATCACATTATTATCAGTAGCCTTGCTGCTTTCCTCTGCCGAGACTCAGCCCGGTGTCCTCCCGGCAGATCTTTGGAGACGGGGAGCAGGTGCGGATGACGTCCGAGGGCTCGGACTGCCGCTGCAAGTGCGTCATGAGGCCCCTGAGCAAGGACGCCTGCAGCCGGATCCGCAGCGGCAGCCTGCGGGTGGAGGACTTCTACACCGTGGAGACGGTCAGCTCGGGCGCCGACTGCAAGTGCTCCTGCACGGCGCCCCCGTCCTCCCTCAACCCCTGCGAGAACGAGTGGAAGATGGAGAAGCTGAAGAAGCAGGCGCCCGAGCTGCTGAAGGTAAGGCCACACACCCCGACTGTCCCCAGCTACGAGGAAAACGGGGGTACCGCTATCGTTCCTTTCCGCCCCCCTCAAAAAAAATAATGATTCTTCCTCTCTTTGTGCTCATGCTGACTTGGGAACACCAGTTTTGTTGCTGTAAGACCGTGTTGAGGAGGGTTCCACAAAACGTCATCAGCCAGGCCAGGCATCAGTTCTCGAATCCTGGGTTGCCGCTGGCTAACTGTGGCGGAAATGATGAACATTAAGCTGGTACAACATCCCACAGTAAACTTGGCTCTCTTTCCAAGGCTTTACTGTGTGTTATGCCTTGATTATTCTGCGGCTGCCTGTGGTTTTACCGAGTGCTTTTACAAAGAGCTTGCGGGTGGGATGTAGGACATATCTGTCACCAGTCCCTATAGACACTCACTGGCCAAAAGATTAAGGTTTCCCCACTGGATGATGTGGTGGGTGTGGTTTGAAGCCTGGGAATGTTTCTGATGGAGGCCTACCACCGTGAGTCTTTTCCATTGACCAAGAGTTGATCTGTGAGTGTATGTGACGTACAATAAATTGAATATGAGAATATATATGTTTGTTTAGCAGCACTGTGTTAGCGTTGCTGCCTCACAGGACTGGTGCCCTGGGTTCAATTCCTGGGGTTCTACCTGCGAGGTCCATTTTAGTGGGGTTCACAATCTTTTACTACACACTGTAGGTAACTTGGTGGTGCCTGTAGTCACTCGTTACTGAATAAATAATTACTGGGTAAAGAATGGTGCAGTTAGAAAATGAATGGATGTGATATATACAGTATATAAGTTCCATCTAAAATACGAAACCTATCTCCTAACTTAGATCATTCCTTGACTAGATTCTTCACTTCTTCGTTGAATGTTGTTGTAGGAGATGGAAAGCGGAAATGTAGACATTTATCTCCTTCACAAGTCTGCCTAGCAATAGAGGCGTAGAAGGGCTCCATTCAAATCAGCCAAGTGTGGCGTTGGGTCACAGTCAGGCTCAGTGACTGGGATCAAACTGCCTCCTTGTTTGTTTATCACTGCTGTGTTGTCTGCCCAGAATGAGTTTAATTTCTTAAGCAAGCACATACAGTTGCCTAATACTGTTTGGAAAAGGTGTCTAGACAACCGGCTGGAAGCTGGGAAACAGACACACTGGGTTTGCACTCTGTAAGGATGTTGCTGCATGACAACCCACTGCTTCCATTTCATCATACTGGTGAGAACCAAGAAGCTGTTCTGCAGTGGCATCTTGCTACCACTGTAAAGACCAATAATACAATATTGCTTTACAGAGCAGTAGATGTTCACAGAAGAAAGAAAAAAATCTATACTCTGTATATTTATCACATTTAGTGTGATTTATCTGCTCCTAGTTTTGCTTGTGTTATTTTATTATACCACCATCAAGATACATTTATCTAAGACCTCTAATTCTGAATGAGAACTGCGTTTGTGCACTGTTAAAAATGAAGTGAAGTGAAAAGACCAAGCTGTGTGGCATGGTGGCACAGTAGCTAGCATTGCTGCCTCAGAGCGCTGGGGCCCTGGGTTCAGTTCTGGACCTGGGGTGCTGTCTGTGTGGAGTTTGTGTGTTCTTCCCCATGTTCGGGTTGGTTTCCTCCAGGTGATCAGGTTTCCTCCCAGAGTCCAAAGACATACTGGTAGGTTGAGTGGCTTCTGGGAAACCTGACCCTGGTGTGAGTCCACCTGTACCTGTGTCTGTGTCTCTGTGCCCTGTGATGGACTGGCACCTCATCCAGGGTGTATCCTGCCTTGTGCCTGGTACATGCTAGGTTCCAGCCTCCCCTCCACCCTGAATTGGAAGAAGTGGTTAGAAAATGGATAGATGGCTGAAAAAGACCTAGCTAGAGAATGTGATCAAATCAGAATCCAAATCAGTTATGTTGGTAGGTGCCTGTAAAACAGCATTCAAAAGAAAATATTAGCATGTGGAAGATGAGGGGATGTTAACAGGCATGTGACTGCTGTAGTAAAAGCTTGGACCTGAACATGTTTAAAAAGCTTTTATATAGTGACGGTGCACATTAAAATCCATCGGAACAGCTCTCTCAATCAGGATCAGGTTCCGGAAAAGGGACCAGACAGTGTCAGAAACTACAAGAACAACAGGGGTCTGAATTTGGCTAGATTTGCCAGTTCAAGTGGAATTGACAACTGGCATCCAATACAAAGTGAATCTTGGAACCTTTACTGTTTATTACACTGGCACCCAATGTTCATGCCAAGGCTTCTACAAGTCATACATTTCTAAGGCACTGTTAGTGTTTCAGAATGCCTGTGGTGTCATTACTTATCACCTTACCAAACATGGAGATTCACAGTAAATGCACAAATGTCTTGGGTGAATACAAGCCAGCTAATGCCTTTGCGAGGTCATGCAAAATATTCTGCATTTAGCAGTATGATAGGGGCTAACACTGAATGACACAGAGGGACAGGAGCTTCCCCAGACTGCAGCAACAGTTGTTTTGATAAAGCCTGATAGAAATCTCTAACCATCCCTGCATTTTATTCAGTGCAGGATGTACCATGTTTATCCATGGTTGGGTACGCATTGATGACCAGTGATGTAGAGAAGTGTTAAGCTGGAGTATGTATGTTCCTCTCACTGAAGCCGAGAGATTATTGCTTATGCTGTTTTACAGTTGGCAAATGTTGTGTCAGATTGTTTCTAGAAGGATTGTTGGTCACACAGGACCGCTAAACGAAGATATGTTTAAATGTAGCTTTTGAAGTCCATTGGAGTCAAATGATTCTTGTAAAGAAAACCAGTAACAGGAAAGGACTCACAGGTATCGGTTTTTCGCCGTTGTTTTTGGTAGTGACATGCTGACAGCCTCAAAGTTTTGAGGTGTACTTCCTTTAACAAAAATTGTGTAAGAGTGAAGGCACGCAATGCACCATCTGGAGAGGGAAAAGAAGAAACAGATGCTGGGTGTATTGTACAGCGCTGTATGTAATGTAGCCCTGGGGTCAGTCAGCAGATTCTAACTCCTCAGCCCAGAGATAAGCCAATAGGATGGTCCTAATCAAGACACTGAAAAACAACCTCCAGTGAATTACTGGCGCACTACTCTCTACCCTGATGGATTATGTGTGGAATTCAACTGAATTCATTTGGAAATCTTCTGCCTACAAGAGGCTTTCCCAAAATTCCACGTATGGTCTTGTTTCTTCGTTTTAAAACTTATGGTGATAACACAATACCACAACGAACATGCGTTATAATACAGGAATAGGTTAAAAAAAATAGCACCCTATATCCATATCAATGACTTTTTCATGTTTTCTTCATTGTTGTAGCTTTTAGGTTACTGGTAGCTACAAGTTCTAACCTTAATTGGCTCAGAATTCCTATGTTTACTCTTTTCTGGAAGCCTTCAAAGTTTTGGATAAACTCATATCCATATACAGGGAATTAAGATTATAAAACAACAGGGATTTTATGGAGTTAAAGGTGGAAGCTGAGCTACTCTTTAACAAGTGGTGGAAGAAACAGGAGAGGCTCATGTAACGCTTACCAGGGATCGTGTGTGTCTGAAACTGGCATGAAATTGCGTGCTGTGTTCCTTGTTTATTATGCTATTGTTAGCTCCTGGTAGAGACCGGCCTAGCCTCTGCTTCTTCCAATATAAACACATTCAGTCTCCCTGGCCTTCCTTTAGTCTGCTGCAACTATTGTGTTGATTCCTTGGACGTAACCGCCTCTTCATGACCAGATTTCTTTACCTGGGAAGACAACAGGCATCAGGCAGTGGAAGGACAAAGGTCTGTATTAAGTAGTATTAGCACAGAAGGGGCAGAAACAAGAGATGTTATTCAGAAGCAACTGATGCAACAGTCACTCAAGACAGGGGAAGAACCCATCAACTGGAAATTGCAGATGTAGTGGTCATCCATAAGAAGGAGTGACAAATGAGTCAAAAAGCCTTCCTGCATTTGTTACAGTAGTTCTTTTATGTTCAGAGTGAAATTAAACCAGGACACTGGGATTATCATCACTATAGCTGCAAGAGGTGCCATAGGATCTTTAAGTACATGAGATCTTTAATTACCAAGCAGTCAAGACTTGTCTCATCCTATGGATAGTACCTCCTACAGTACAGTGTCCCATGTCACCATGCTGTGGCTTTGTACTGGAAAATCTGGTCCTGACTAAAGAGCGCCACATACTGGTCCACCAACACTACTTAAGGTGCAACCTAGTTTTCCTTAAAGGTTTCCCATCCCAGTATGGAGCAGGACTAAGCCTGCATGAAGTTTGAGATCTTATGGGAGGTGATTGGCTCTTTCTACAGTATGTTTCAGCTGTTCTTTTTATACATTGAACAGCTGATTTGTTAGCAGCATAGGAAAATCTCTTACACAATCCCTCTGTTACATATTTTATGGAGTCAAATCATGTTGTGGGCAGTGGGTCACTAGAACCTCCACTTTAATGAAAATGTCAAATGTCATTTTAGAAAATAAAATATTTCTTCAAAAGTGAGTTTGAAGTATTATTTTCAGACAGTATGACCGAATGAAGGTGAAATGTTACATTCCTTTATCATCTTCCTAAATATTAGTGGCATTGTCTCACTCCTATTTTTATCTCTTAACATGAAACACCACTGGCAAATGAAAGCCTCTTGGTTTTATGAACAGACTTTAACTAACTTCTCGGGCCTTAAGGCAGGACAGGTTACCCAAGCTGAATTTCTGCTGTTTGCTTTACTCCACAGTTGCAGTCTATGGTGGACCTTCTGGAGGGTACACTGTACAGCATGGACCTCATGAAAGTTCACTCCTACATCAACAAAGTTGTCTCTCAGATGAACAATTTGGAGGAGGTAAGAAGAACAAAGGCCAACGTAGCAACAATCGAGATTGACGTGAATGTCGAGCGCGAGTTCGCCATTGACGAGACCTCTGCTGTGCCTCATTGGACACCTGTCTGTGAGGAGTGTCAGATCAACCCTAGGACACACAAGAGCAGGAAAAGAGGGCCTTGATATTCTATGTGATCCCACTGCCTCTCACTTTATCCCTGTATAAACGGCAAATATATATTTGAGGAGGGACGAAGTTAGTATTTGTGGTAATGTTACGTACTGTAAAAAGGGAGATGTCTTTCAATGGCTGAAGCAATTCAGAAATAAGTTGCTAAAAACAGCAAACATGACCAAATATTAATGTCATTGTATATATTAATATGGATGCATTCATGTAAATATAATAATGCTGCAGCGAAACCTGTTTTCACTAATCCCTGCAGACAGTTCTTAGCTGCACTGTTGCCATTCTCCAGGCTCAGATTTGTGCAGATGTCTCCATATACATTTCAGTATAGCTTCAAGACTTAAGTATCTGAACTAGCTGTAGGCCAATTGCCAAAACAACAAAACCCAAATGTGGGATAAATATTGACCAAAAACAGGAAACATATCACATATTTTGACATCTGTTTTCCACACCATTCAGTCAATTTAGATAAAAATACAATAACTGAATTAAAGAGTTTTATGTTCCCTCTATATAAATTAAATGGTCAATGTACTGTAATTTGATCATGCAAAGTCTTTGGTTGATTGTAACTGTCATTCCAATTTCAATAAAGCACTTTTTGTAAATGGCCCAGGTGAAACATCTTTAGTGTAATGCAGTTTTTTCAGCCAAAAAGATTTGAGAAATCTCTGAATAACTCTTTCTTGGATTTATGTTTACATGTCACATTAATTAATTCCAGATTTTTTCAATTTCATTTTTAGAGCTGGCAGGCACATTAAGAGGCTGAACTGCAGTCTCGTTATATATTTTTGTGGTTGTCCTCTAAGCCATAGTGCGTACTTTATTGCCAGCCATGCTGTGTGCAGCTAATTTAAACCAAGAAATCGGAGAAACCACAACTATTCCAGTTCTAAGGCAAAAAGAGCACATAAAGAGGCCTCTTGAGGATGTCTTGTGGTTGTAATGTTTTTAGTGAGAGAGTGGTAAGACATACTGCTTAAGTGCAATAGCATATTTCATAATATGTCTTGCAGATTTGAATGGGTAGTTGTATCAAATTTACTTATCAGAGTTTCTCAATGTTTGAGTCTTTTCTCATTGTATTTTCTACACCATTTTTATTTTTCTCCATCTGGCATTATTACGCTGTAGCGCATAATCTGAAAGCGTAGTGAGAGATTGTAGATTTTATTTTTGACTTCGTTGTTAGATCTTCGTACCAACAAGACTAACAGCATTGCCTTCCAAAAGCAGCATCCCAGACAGTAGGTGAGTAGGATCAAGTTTGCATTGTGCTGCACTGAAAATTAACAATGCAAGGACCACTACCACTACAAGTGGAGACCTGTCCATTCTGGATGGAACATCAGCTTAAAGAGTCATCTTTACTGTATGTCCACTGTGGGTGACCAGTTGTGCCAAACAATGCGATTTTGTTTTTCCCAATTACGATACAGACTGCTCTTGTCATCATAGCCAGAAGCCTTTAGTCGCAAGCACTGAAAGATCCGAGAATTACCACATTTAACCCTGCACGCCAGTATTCACAGAGCGCATCAGAGTTAATTCCTTGTGCAAACACCTGCTTGTTCCCCCAGACGATTAAGACCAACTTGACGCGGGAGAACGAATTTATGAAGGACAGCGTGATCAACTTGACCAACCAGCTGAAGCGCTATGAGAACTACTCTGACATCATGATGAGCATCAAGAAGGAGATCTCCAGTCTGGGCCTACAGCTGCTTCAAAAAGACGCTGCTGCCCCGGACAGCAAAGTGCAGGTATTGTACACTATGCTCAGCCAGTTCTTAGTTACACTGTTTCTGGATGACTCAGTTTGGTGGCAAGATGCTGCATCATTTTCACATAACTGGGAGTGAAAGAGAAAATCACATAATTCAGAATGAATCTGAGCATTTCCAATTAGGATTTGAGACTAGACACACCTTTTAATGTGATGAAAGGTGGATCGAAAACCAGAGAGTATTTTTGATCTCAGAAAGCCAAGACATTTTACTAGACCTGAGCAGCCAAAAAAACAAGATAAACAAGTTTTTATAGCACTAGAAACAGCTTAGACTAGACTATTTTGTTTTATTTTGTGTTTCTTTTTAAGTCGGTAAATAGCTTAGCTGACTGCTAAGTGTTCATTTCATTTGTTTAGCAAGTACTACAACACAGTCAGGATTTTTAAAATATTATTGCTATTACAGTATAAGAACACATTATAAATTGAAACCTACCTTGTGTTTTACATGCAAGGAATCACCCAGTGTTATTGTTTTAGAGCTTGCAGAATGCTTTGCTTTGTGGTAGGAATTGGGCTTCATAGCCAAACACATATAGTATATGTCAATAATCAAGTGATTTGTGTGACCTCCCTGCAACATTTGACAGGTTGTGTGGTTTCTGTTCTGTTGAAGTGGACAGTTCTGACTTGGTCATTGCTCTATTGCTCCAAATCTTTATGTACTTATTTCTACAGCAAAGATTAATGGTACATTCATGTCAGAGTCTACTCTTAAGGAGTGTATTTTGGTCAACTGATTAAAGGAGACTATTCCTTTACGATTTGCCACGTCAAAATGTGTGGAAATAAATATCATGCTTCTATTTTAAATGGGTTTAGCTATGATGTATCATTCTGTGACCCCAAAATTTCTACCCTAATGTGTTCTTACTATTTTATCTTTTCTCCTTATTTATAAGTGCATTTTAAGAGCTGTTTTCAAAGCACAGAATGGCATAGAATGAGCACGTGCTCGCTGCAAAGAAAACGCGTTATGATATTGACATGTTCTCAAATCTGCATCGAACACACGTTTGTGCGGCATCTAGATATAAATGACGCTAAACAGGGCCGGACTCTCTGTTGTAGGAAACTGCTGGTGGGAAGCCTAAGGAGGCAACCAAGTATCCTAGCAAAAAGGCCAAGCCTCCAGCCAAACCCCCCAAGGAAAAACCTGTGAAGCCCAAGAAAGACATCGTCAAGCCGGGGAAACCTGACCCCACTGCAAAAGCCAAGGTGGCCGGTCACCAGCCTGGGGTCATCAGGGGCATCACCTACTACAAAGCTGCCAAGATGGAAGGCATAGAGCATGGCACGACCAGCAAAGGTGAGACGTGGTGGACGGCAGGGCAGTCTGGCCTTTGAGACAGATGGAGCTGTAATGAATTCACATGCTGCGGCAATGCAGTGGATCTCAGCCTCAGGCAAAGTCAGGTGGACCGTAAGAACTCGAGAAAGACACCTTTCCACTGCCAGGTACAGACAGCTCCCTTAAATTCTGTGAAAGTGGAGGACAAGGAGCAATTTACCTACATAAGAGTTCAGGACTCGTATCCAAGGCCGGTGAAAGTAATTAATTCTGGATCAGCTCAGGTAAAGTGCTTGTGAACGCATTGTGAACGAGAAATGACAACAATACTTTCTGAAGTCAGTCTACTGAAGTCAAAGCACATGGGTATGGTCAGTGGGGCAGAGCCCTCTCTTTAATTGAAAGATTAACCCTAGCGAAAAAAGGGACTGCTCTAACCGAAAGACTCCTCCTCCTGAGTTCTTTCCAAATCTGAAGAAAATCCTAATTGACATCAGCTGCAGCAGAATGCCCTGCTGAACCCCTGAGTGAATGCCTGCACTCAACCTGCACGAAAACGCCTTCACCTGTTTCTCTTTAAACCCTCCAGACCTGAACCTTAAATCCGTACTACAGACACATAAATAACACAGACCACTCAGAGCAACAGCTTTTCCATTACACACCAATAGCCTCCTGGGCTCTGCTCCAATCAGTGCCGAACTGCTGGTGCGGGAATGTGGAGCTTGTGATGTGTGAAAAGACAAGTAGCTTGAATTGGGTGTGTCTGCTTACACTCCCTCTATATTATCCACCATGTGCAATCACAGGGTTAATATTGTAACTGCAAGCCAAGAGACGAAAAACCTTCAGTTGGATATTCCAGGGTAAGAGGGTGATAGGTTCAGACAGCATGGCAGCCCTTGTCTGAACTACATTTCCCAGAAAGCTCTTGGGACCTGCCATCCTCAGTCACGTGACCAACGTAAAACCAGGAAACTGAGGTTTCTGGTGTCAGTCAACATCTGCTCCCAGGAGACAGTGGGAAGATTCTCTAATATGCAAACTGCACTGGAGGGGGAGAGAGAGAATCAAGCAACCGGCTGAACAAATGGGAGAGAATCTGGTGAACATTTGGGGGTTTTGGAAATATGCCCAACCTTATGACTGTTCTGTGTGCCAGTTTTACCTAGACCTACAGTACCTAGAAACAATCCTGTTTAAGACACCCGAGTCCAACCTGTGTCATAGATGGGTATAACAAAAACAATTGGCAATTAGAATTTTATAAGAAAAAGACTTAGGCAGCCTTGCAAAGATTAACTTTAAAATCAAGATAGTTCACAGCACATCCCTCAGACTTCCTTAGAGTCAGATACATACAAATGTATTATTTGAACTCAAACCCAGTCCTGTATTATTCTACCCCTCATTTGACATTTGAGCCTTGATATTTAGAGCACAAACTAAAACCTTCTGCATAAAATGTTTATGAAATCACACACTCTATTAGTATTTGAACAAAGGAGGGTCTTTTGTAAATTGTTTATCTGTTTGTATAGTAAATCATACAATTTATATAGCCCAGAACTGGGATATTCTGGGGTCTGCCAAAACACTCCAGGGATTTATGCTACTCTATGATTGCATTGAAGTGTTTTTCACACTGGCAGAGATACTCACTCAGTCCTCTAATATACAGTATTTATTCCAAAATTGAAGCCATATGACTCAATGTCAAAACCCACAGAGGGGCGTACGCATTTGGCACACACTGCCTATATTTATAGTGGCTAGGTCATAATTGAAAAGGTGTTAAATATTTGATGGAGAATGCAGGGATTTAAACCCACCTGGTTTTGGTTCAGGAGAACTGGAGATCTGGATTCCAGGCTCATTCAAGTGTAATAAGAAGGAGGAATGGTAAATGAACACGTACCCAAATAGTATCAATTCAGCAATCCACTGCATTGCCAAATCCACATTATTACTGACACAGTTTTGTACATTTTAATACATTTATTTTGAGGAGAAACATCCCTGCTTATGTAATGAAAATTGGTTGCAACAGTTATTTAGAAGCGTATTACTGAAACCATCCCGTATTAAACAGCAGTAGTCAGGTTAAGGTTAATTGAAGCGAAGGAACTTGCATTTATTTAGTAACTGCTAAACAATTAAATGCTTTTTGCAGGGATCTAACCCTTTGTCTTCTCAGCTCCCTTTAATTGGATATAGACTCGGACGCGCTTAAGAACTCTACAGGCCTAAACTTTACTTGATTGTTGATTCTTGTTTATAGACACTTTTGCTGAGCTTGCAGACAAAATCTTTTTATTCATAAAATGATTTTGTCCGCTCTTCACAGATTGCACACAAAACTAACGGTCTTATTTTGAATCGATGCGGTACATCAAGCCAATGTGATAATATCCTCTGCCATGCAGTAGGGATTGAGGTTAATTGTACAGAGTCTGAGCTGTTCATGATGAATGGCCTTTTACTCTTACCACTCTGGATCAACAGCTCAGAAAGACGCAGACTTAAGGACAGCCCATTTCTGAGAACCCCGTCCTCCACTGTCCTACATTAGTGCTGGAGGTCACAGAAATGAGTCTGGTTGACTCCAAAGTGGGGTTTCAAAAGGAGCTAAAAAATGAGAAACACTAATTAAGCACAAAGCACATTGACTTATTTGTGATAGAATAGGCCTACAATCGTAAGGTACTCCATTACTGCACTAAAAGCACCGTGCCAGAAAACTCTGAATTTCCCATGGAATATCATAGGATTAACAAAGACTCAGATATCTAAGTCAATACAATATTTTAAACCTGCTAAATAAGGCATCAATATACTTGTATATTGCAAGCCCATATACCATGAGTGCTGCCTGAAGGTCTAATAACTAGGAAAGCAGGGAACCCAGTCGTGAAGAAAATGGAGGCTTGTTAAAGTGATTACAACCAGGTGGTTCCAATTTCCAGTCTTGGCCATTGGTTCACTTTGAATCAAACTGAACAGTTGCCTTTTCCTCCGTCTCGCCCTGTAATCTACAGAAAACCAAGGTTCCGATTTAACTGACTGTTTTAGTACTTCAGGGTTCATAACTATTCAGTCACTTTGGATTAAAGCATCGAGCATCTACTAGATGCCCAAAAATCCAACATAAGTAAAAATAATAAGGCAATGGTGAAGATCTGCAAAAGCAGATACCCCTGAAAACCTGAAAGTAACACTTTTTAGGTTACTGAATCACACATTTGGAGGAGTCTTCACCTTTTACTGCCCTCCTATTTTTTCCTCTTTAATGCTCAAGATCACTTATTCCACTGGAACAAAAAAAAAAGTTATCCAACCGAACAACAATAGCTGGAAAACAAGATGAATCGGCCTTTTGACTGATGGAGGAACCCAGTTTGTTGAAAGATGTTTCCAGGCAAAACTAAATGGAATCTATACCCCTTGACGATAGACGTTTTTCATTATCTTTACATCTGCATCCTTGTGCGTCTCACACAAGCCAAAACACTGTCATCGCTTTGGCACAGGGCTGAAGTAATGACTGTCCTCCTGCCGCTTGTAAATTCAGGAAAGGTCTTGTGGAAACCAAGGGCATCACGTGCATTTGTCCGTGCTTGAAATAGGTGTGTCACCTCCTGTTAAGTCAGGAACTGAAGAATGTCTCTTAACCCGAGAAATAGAATCAGTCTAATGAGAATGCCACAAAACTGTTGAAGCATAGATGTTTAAGTAGGCGGAAAATGCGTGCCTTCTTAAGAAAGAAATTCAACCGAGTCTTGGGATTCTCATGGGCTGATTTTTGAAACCTTTAGATCAAGGACGGAGGTTAAGAGTAGAGAGCAAACTCATTTGGAAGGCAGTGGGGAGTCATCATGAAAAACGCTTGTTGTAGACTTTGACACGGACCTGTGTGAAACAATCAAATCTGCGTTTGGCGATTAACCTTTGCATCAACAGTGGGCTGTGGTTTAATCACCTAAAGGCCGGTTATTGAAATGCATATTCATTTTAGTTTCTTTGTCATTTCAAAGCCTTATTTCTTCTGTTGTTGGAGGCCTTATGGAATTCTGAATTCTGAATGCTTTCACACATGTAGTCTGATAAACTCTTTTTGGTGATTGATAGTACTGATTCTGTAGTCTTTCTCAGGATAGGTAATTATGGAATTTACACAGAAAAGTAAATTTAGTAAATTACACAAAAAAGTTAATTTACATAAATAGGTGATAACGCAAAGCTCACTAGACAATATTAAAAGTGTCATTTCAAGTCCAGTCCTGCAAGTGTGTAAAATAGTCTTTCTAGAAAATACACATTATTAAGCAGCACAAATTGAGTTTCTCCAAAGGTATATTTTTATAAGGCATCCATGTGCATTTTAAGTTGAAGCCAGATATACGTCATTTTAACATCATGTATGTATCTTAATCTAATTAGAATTAAATGTCATGTTCACTGTTGAATATCTCGTTTTTTACACTATTACCAGTTGAGAAAATGAAAAAAAAAGCAATATGACAACATTTCATCTGTTTTCTGTGCTGCCGTTTGCTAGATTGTAGAGAGGTAAATGGAAAAAATACTGTACATGGAAATCCAAACAACTCTACATTTTTAGTGTTAGTACCTTCTGATAGCATCCTCATTAGCTGTAATCACTCCCCAACTTCTGCCCTTAGTGTTCATTGGTGAGCAGAAAGTTCCATTGTGATAGAACAAAATATTTTTTTTCTTGTGAGCCTATAGAAAACTATCGCTGTCACATACTGTATTTGCATTCAACAATTCATATTTTAAAACCCTGTTTCCTGCTGCAGAATATACCGTGTGTTCCAAAGGTAAACAGATGATCACCTATAACTCAAAGATATAGCAGTATATTTTTGAATGCAAGGCCCAAATGTGTGTCATATCCACTGTTCCCAAATTACTGACTATTGCTATCCAAAGGGGACTCTGTTACTTTCTGTCTCTTACAAGAGAAATCAAAGCCCCAATACAGCTTGGATCTCATTGGCCCTCACTAAAATAGTGCATTTTAAGTATGATGTACAACGGATGAAGGTTTAGATAAATATAAATTCCCCAGAAATACAGAACCTGCCTAATATTTAGTATTAAAACACTTTTACAGCAAGGGAAACACCGGTACTAATAAGTAACAAGCAAGATACTGTACATGTAACAGAAGAACCTTCACTATAAATTAAAAAATGAGAAGGTACTGCATCACTGCCCTATACGGTGACTGTCAAAACTAAATTCTCCTTCACATTAATAGTCAAAAAGACGTAGAGAAATAAACAAGCCTTTCCAGTAAAAGAGTCACGTTACCTCATATCTGGACCTCTAAAAAGGACAATTCACAGACTTTAAAAAATGTTCGATACTTTTTTTTACTTTTGTTCAAGGTATATTAAATGTGCATCTGGGTTACTGAAAATTTTACATGAAAACTGAAAGGTAAATGAACCTGCTGTAAGTTCTAGCGCATGTTTTAACAGATTGAAACCAGAGTAATAAGAAATTCAAAAATAATACTTAGTAAAGGATTACAAGAGAGTATTGTGCAGAAATGTGTAGGCTCCATTTCTATAGCCAGGTGATGCTGAGTTTTTTAAATATTACTGGCATCAAATGTCCAGCACATTTATGTGGATATGAAAGACTAATCTCAGGATGAGGAGGGAGTTACTTGTAGAAAATGTGAACTGAATTAGCTGAGCACAAGCGCTGCATTTCCATAATCCCTGCAAAAGAGCCTGTTATTCAGGGAAGGGACCTTTTCATGTCTGATCGCATTAGAAAAACAAAGGACTTTAGCTCCCAGCTGTTTGGGTTTTTTTCCTCTTTATACCAACACAACACGAGTACTTCATCACAGTAATTAATACCAAAAATGTTTGGTAAATTTGTCCCAGGTGCTTCAGCTCAGCCAACAGCTGATGTATTCCCACCTGTTGTAGTTGAGTTTACGTGATGTGCTTGTCTCTTACATCTCTCCACCCAGACCCTCCAGCTAATTCTAGCTTTTAGACCTGTCTTGCTGCAAACAATAATTCTTCAAGAGAATCACCTGTAGTTCCGAAGAGCCACGAGCTGGTGAAAAATGGAAACACCTGATACAATAAACCAAGATAAACTCAGATAACAAAACTGGACACAGGACCTTTTTATATACAGTATTTGCTCGCACACTGACAAAGAATATAGTAAAGAGAGCAAGCACAGTTTTAAAGTCTGCACTACATTTCTATTCTCCATTCTGCTAGAGTGACAACTTGTGGTTGATGGGTGTGTTCTTGGGACATGAAATTGTTAAATGCACACCTGCACTGAGATTTGGTAACTTCATCTGAAGTTTCTAGTTTTAAAGTTTGACAACTGAAAACTTTGCTTTGGAAGATAATCACCACAGAATGGGGGATAATATAGATAGGGAACCACTTCTAATGTGTGTCAGACTACCTAGAGTGTGCAGCTGTCATAGCTCACAATTGTAGATTCTGTGATGAGAAGGCTTAGCTAGTAAAATGTCATTTACAAATATTCTTTGTTGCGTCGACAGAAGGTTAAGAAAGTTTTATATATATATATTAGTATTTTTAGTATAGTTTTTAGTATTTTTAAAAAATCATACTCGATTCACTTTGGATTGAATTCAATCCAGGCCTAAAAGCCAGAGTACATATGCATATACTGTATAATATATACCAATATCATTTTAACCTGTTGTTAACTACAGATGTATATTCAGCATGCCAACAAGCTGAAGTGGCAGTCATTTAATGTAAATGGCGGCAGAGCAGTCAGTATCTCCCACCATCTGGCCTTCATACACTGCTCCTCCACATCACAGGAAAACAGAGAATAAAGAACACAGGAAGTTACAATGCTTAAGCCTGCTGTTTTCCTGACATTGTCTCCTGTTATATATTTCAAATCGCCTGGAAAAATCCCAGTGGAGTGTGGAATGTCGAATATAAACAGCCGGAAGCAGGGCTGAACACTCTCTATTACAGGAGAAAGAGGCGTCTAAATGAAAGCTGGGACACTTTAATAACTTCATTAATAAGGGCATTTCCATTGCTGGCTCGCAAGTAAAGCCGCTTTCTTTCTGTGATTCTCACACTGTCATTCAGGAACTTTTGAAGACCCTTAAAGTAAAACTACAGAATATACGGTGTATATCAAAGGCCTACACAGCCTTACTGAAATTTCAGCTTTTCTTGAAAAATCAAGACAAAATCATGTCAGACCTTTTTTCACCTTTCATAAGATCGGGTAACCAACAATATTTAAGTGAAAAACAAATGGATCATTTTTAGAAAAATCATGAAAAATTAAAACGAAAAAACTTTCAATGCTTCGGTTGCATCAGTGCGCACACCCTTTATAAAGGGAGTTGTACCTCTGTTCAGATTTAACCCATCATATACTTCTGTCACCACAGCAAGATCAACATGATGGCATTAGTTCTAATGTTACTTTGCACTTTTGATTCAGTCTTGCTGTTAATTGCATGAGAGTGTTTTTGAAATCAGGGAATGTGCACTCTGGGATAGCTCAGGGCTCTTTTAGCACACCTAGAAATTAAATGGCGCCAAATATGTAGCGATGTGTGTTCTGTGGTTGTTCCTCTCCATAGAAAACACAGTGAGAGCTCACGGCCATTTTGATGCGAAGGAGGTGGTGACGGAGGAGAGGCCGCAGAGCTCTGAAGAAGGGAGGGCGGTCGCCGTAGAAACGCCAGCAGCCACCACCACTGTACCCACAACCCCCAGCACCACCACGACCACCACGGTGTCCACGACGACCACGGCCAAGCCAGAGAAACCCGCGCCCACCATTTTACTGGTGTTGGACAACTCAGACAACAGCAGTCGTTATCTGCAGAACCGAGCAGGTACGCCACAATCACTACTAGCATCTACTGGTGCTGCTGTCAGTTGACCACTCCAATGTAAAAAAATATATACGTATAATAATTTTCTAATGTTAAAAACATAAAAACATTCATTTTTACGTCTTCTATGGCTTGTTAAATTGGAATCCATGAACGTTTTCCATAGTGTTTCACAGTGTTTTTTTTAGTTTTTTAGTTTCCTAATTAGGAAGTAAAACGAGCAGTAAGAAACTGGGAAGAAAAGTGCTTAACGGATATGACGCAGATTTATTTTAAAAGGGGAAGATGGTCAAGGGGATGTTTCTCATTGTCACAGAAAAGGCCCACAACTGGAGAACCTCTCCTCATCATACCCAAGAAGACACCTCTTGACTGCATCCGTGTAATGTATGTGCAATGTTCCTTTGTTGTGCTTCCGCTAGCAAAAGATGTGGACTGTGAGGGGACCATATCCTCTATTGAGATGCCGGAGAAACATCACAGCTACGGGCGAAACGAAGGAGCGTGGATGAAGGACCCAGTGGCCAAAGATTCAAAGATCTACGTCACCAATTATTACTATGGCAACAATCTGGTGGAGTTCAGGAACCTGGACAATTTCAAACAAGGTAGGCCGGATTTGACAATAAATTATTTTGAACTTGGCGAAAGGAGTTGTGGTTGTTTCACATACAGTATCCTTGTTATTAAATCCGCATAAATGCTGTTCTCAGAAATCTTTTATCATTTCAAAACACAAGACTGAAGGTGCAGTATCATTACATTAAAGTGAGGTTGTCTGAATTACTATTTGTACCGTGTGGTTGTCCAAAACAGAAAGTGATCAAACTTAGCCGATTTTAAAACTCGAGTTTTGAACTGACCTCTGTATTGTATGTGGATGTTTGGGAATGCTTTCTCTTATCTGAGTTATGTACCTTATGCTAATATGTTCACACTTTTCTGGCATCTGTCCACAATAGATGGAAAACACTTTTAAAAAAATAGTGAAAAACAAAATGGTGCCAAAGAAGTATTCCTTGGAACAATACTTTTGTATTACAAATTAAAAGGTCCTGTTTTCTATGGGAGGATGGAGTAGGATTTGTTTTCAGATACGTCAATGATGTACCAGCTGTCGCATTACACAGCAGATCACTGACTGTTATTTTCTTTACTGACAGTATTTGTAATTTTGCAACTCATAATAATACTGACATTACATTGTACGTAAGGAGCATTATGTTTGAAGTACAGTGCCACTAAAAGAGACAAACCTAGATGTTCTCTGGTCTGTCTTGCATTACCCTCTGTGAATGCCAGTGCCAAAGTGACACTAAACAGATATATTATATTTATAACTAGTCCCTTTATAGGTTATTGAAATGGGGGTGTTGTTTTTTGTCCTTCAAATGTTTTTACAGTTGTTCTCTAAGCTAGCAGAAACAAAGCCATTCACTTCAACCAGATTATATTTAGTATTATTTGATTTTTTTTCATTAGAAAATATACATGTTTTCTTGTTTTTTTTTCTCAGAAGAATCCTTCCGCAGGTCATTTAGGATTTCCTTTTCCAATTCGGATTGTCTAGATCAGGGTTTCCTCAGGATCAGATTCCAGCAAGCTTTGCTGAAGTAATCAAAGCACCAGACCAGCACAGGATGTTACGAAGGCTTTAACGGAGACTGCAATGCCGTTTTTAAATTTTGGTGTTAGAAAGAATCGGCATTGATGAGTGCATTTCAAAACACACTGAAAGAAAAATGTAAATGTAAGATGTAAAACCTTCAATCTGCATCACAAAGTAGATGAAATTTCCAGGTATGCGCAATGCCATATTCACAATGAGGCAACCAAACTTCCAGTGACATGAACCAACCATATTACATTGTAAACAAACAGGCTTGTGAATACATCTCTTTTAATCCTATAGAAATATTACTCTTGACTTCAAGACGGTTTTGCTGACAAATACGACTTAGTTGTTCACTCTGCATGCAAGTCCCGCTGGAACATTTCTGTGGTGAAATGTCTGCTGCACAACCTTTACTTATTCGCTCGTAAGATTGCGTCACATGAGTCATGACAGGGACTAGTGAGCAGGAAGGGCCACTTCACGTCTCAGTTCTCACAAACTCTTTCTCTCACCCTCTGAGAGACAAGGTGTTTGCAACAACATGGCGACTTTCACAAAGTTCAGGATTCTGTGCTTTCATTCGGAATTTGCCAAATTTTTCCTATACTGTCGCTTCATTTCTTTTGTTACCGAGATTTAATAGCAGGCCTGAGAAACCGAGACAGCAGTTCCCCTCTAACTGGGACAGTATAACCTTCCTGTAGGGTTTTCAAGTTGCTACCGCCTTGCCATAGTGAATGAGGGGAAAGGAAAACGATAAGCTGTTGTTTTGGGGTTTTTTTTCAAAGGGCGCTGGAGCAACCTGTACAAGCTGCCGTACAACTGGATCGGCACCGGCCATGTGGTCTACAACGGCGCCTTCTACTACAACCGGGCCTTCACCAAGAACATCATCAAGTACGACCTGAAGATGCGGTACGTGGCGGCCTGGACCCTGCTTCACGACGTGGTCTACGAGGACACCACCCCCTGGAAGTGGAGGGGCCACTCGGACATCGACTTCGCCGTGGACGAGAGCGGCCTGTGGGTGATCTACCCGGCCGTCGACTACGACTACTCCCAGCAGGAGGTCATCGTCATCAGCAAGCTGGATCCCGGCGACCTCTCGGTCAAGAAGGAGACCACCTGGAAGACGGGCCTGAAGCGCAACTCCTACGGCAACTGCTTCATCATCTGTGGGGTGCTGTACGCCGTGGACGTCTACAATCAGAGGGAAGGGGAGGTCTCCTATGCCTACGACACTCACACCAACACAGAGGCCATTCCGAGGCTGCCTTTCACCAACGAGTACGCCTTCACCACTCAGATTGACTACAACCCCAAAGAGAAGGTCCTGTACGCCTGGGACAATGGCCATCAGCTCACATACAACGTCAACTTCGTGGTCCAGTAATGCCGGGGTCCTTGGGTCAACATCTCCATCCTTTCGTCAAGCACTTTGTTACTTTTGTTCTTCATTTCTGTGAGATTCTTCTTGGTTGTGTTCGGTCATTAGTGTGGTGTGTTCCATTCCAGTCAAGTGGTATGCAAAAGAGTGCAACGAAGAGCCGGCACTGATTTTCTTCATAAATGAGAGAGGTTCACAAAAATTGAAGCAGCGACACTTAGGAAAGACATCAGTGCCTTCCCAAAGATTGTGTGTGGCTGTTTTTTGTTATTATTTGTTTTTTTTATTAACGTGTTACAAAGGGACAGAAGATGTGCCAGGCAATGGTTATTGGACATTGATTTCTAAAGGCAGAAAAGAACAATTCCCCTTAATGTTCTTTTTAAGAATATGGAGTCAGGTTTATCACGTCTTATATTAGAACACCGTTTTGTGTTTCCCTTATTGAGAGAAACAGCCTTCTGAGGTATAAATAAGCATCCTGAACTACCAAATGTTTTTATTTTTATTTAAGGACTATGAAATATCAGTCATATAAATTGTATGTCATTGCATTCTAGTTTTCTTGACTTTAACAGGTATACACAGTTTTTGTACAAAATACACTATATATTTATACTTTGTCAGCTAATGACTATCAGCATCATACTGTAGCTAATAAAGAGAGGGCTGTTGTCTCTAGAAACTAGGCAAAATGGCAGCATGATGACATTGTATTTTAAGACTGCATTTTTAAAGAATTACTTAAGACATGATGCAATCTTTCAGAGACAACATACTGTACAAACACAAAAAGGTAACAAAGGAGAGGGAATCAGCCCATCTAACCCATTTGGTATTTAGGAGTTAACTGATCCACTGTTCTCATCCAGCCAGTTTCTGAAAGAAACCAGGGTATTATGTAATAGTAACACAGAGAAATAAAGCAGCATTAGGTGTTAGCAAGTAGGAGTTTCAGGCTAATTAAGGTGAAAGTTTCAAATCCAAAGGGATTTTTTAAAAACTTTAACAAATGAATATGCTGAAAACATTTTAATTTGGCAACATTTATGAAATTACAACATACATACTGTACTGTATTACAGTATTGCAATATCCATAAATATAACACATTTGCTTTCCTATATCCATGTTGAAATGTTTCAATTCATTTAGCAACACTTGATGGTTTCCGTGTTTACGCAGGGGCTGTTTAATTAAGCCCCTGCTTAATTAAGACATAAGCAAAGCTGTTGTTTTATTGTTTTATGTAAAATGTTAAAGTATATTGTGACCAAAAGTGTTTACTATTACATAAAAAACATACACACTCTATGTGAAACTCCTCAATCAAGAATAGTTAACTTCTGCAGGACTAACAAAAAAAATCAAGAACACAAACAAAGAAAGAATGCTTTCATTTCCCATTACTTTTCCACGTAAGTGGATTTAAATCACAGGTTATTTACTTCTGACGTTGTTTCTGTTGGGGTTTTTTTTTGTCAATAGAACATAGAACATTTTTTTCTATGTGGTAAAAAAAAAGTTCGAAAAGAGCAGGGGTACGATGTGAGAACTGATTTTTTAATCAGACACAGATTCTTGTAGTAAAACATTTCGTAAAGTTGTTTTGAATCTGATGTTTGTGTGTGCAGCAGAACTCCATGCCCTCTGTGTGCCAGCAATAATGTTCCAGTTCCAAAGAAAAGTTTTTATTCTGAAATTCATCTGAATAAGCAAGAATGGAGCCAGTTGTTACAGGGGGCTTATTAATTTAGTGCTCCTGATATTTATAAAAAAATAAATATGTAATGAGCTATGTGATAGCTTGTTATCATGGTTTAAGAAGGTCAGATTATGTGGTGGCAGGCATCCTATCGTACTATAATTCCTTTCAGAAATATGAGCTCTTTATTAGCTTGCCTACAGTAACAACTTGCCACCAGCTCTCTTCTGTTTACTTAAAAAAACAGTGGCTTTATTTATTAAGTTTGCCTTTCCTTTACTTGCGTAGCATGGTCTAACCTCATCATTTCCTGGATGACTTCATCCTTTCACCGTTCTTAAGGTTTCACTGTTGTCACATCCGCCAAAACACATAGTTTGATCAACTATCAATCCGAAAATCAAGTGCTTGGAAATTACCTGGATCTTCATCAAACAACACTGAGGGCTATGCTAAGGTGGGCTTTATAATATTGCATTCACAAGAGCATCTCAGGTGATAGAAAATGGTGTTTACAGGCTTCCAAGACTGCAGTCAGTTCTGCACAAACATACTGTACAATATTTCTGATTGCTTTATACTGCTCACTGAAATCTTGGCAGGAACGTTTGAAGTCAAGAAGATTTTATCTCTCTTTTAATGTTCTAAGTTCAGGTTTAAATAGAACTTGCAAATTGATCAGAGCAACTCAGCATAAAGACATTTTTGAGAGGATGTTTGTCTGCTCAGATAGCATTTTTTAATGTTTATAACATTAAAATTTAAATGCAACCCACTCAGTTAAAGTGAAAACAGTCTTTTAGCCTACAGTTAAAACACCGTGTGTACGTCTAGAAAACTCATTTAATTGTTTATAATCTGGTGTATTTCCTTTTCGTGTATTCTTTATCTGGATTAAAATGTCTACAGCTGACTACCTTGAGAATTAATACTTTAAATGGATGTTAATAGTTTCTTGAGTTAAGAATGAATAAAAAGAGAGACTAAAATATGAACTTACTGTTGTCATTGAGATCAACTGCTTTTCCAACAGTGTATTGCTGCTTTGTTACTCGTATAACAACATGACATTCATTCATAACCCTCTGGGTTTAAACTTGTTTGATCGATTAAATGTAAATGTGATTTATCAAGCCTGGACTCGTGTGCAATTGCTGTAGAATTTGTCTTTCCAAAAGAGAATCTGTGTATGTCAGAGAAGGACAGGAGACTGGAGATCAGGCTCAGAAATGTCATGGATTTAGTAATGTAATGAAAGATTTACAACAGAAACAGCAACATACCCATTTGATTCAGCTACGTCTGCACAGGTAATTGTTTAATGCCCTCTAAAATCCTAACTGATTGTTTGCCCAACTAGTGAGAACAGGGCAGTTGCCTAGATTTTCATGTCTTCAATCGACCAGTCAAGCATCTGTAAAGAGCCAGAACTCTAGCGGTATCAGCCTATTGCAATTGAGGTAACTTTTATGCAGTCCTGTTGACAAAAAACACCACCAACACCACCAATAATAATAATAATTCCTTACACTTCTATAGCGCTTTTCTGGACACTCCACTCAAGCGCTTCATAGGGAATGGGGACTCCCCTTCACCACCAGACATTTGGCCAGGACACCTACTCTTTTTGAGAACACCCTCCAATTTTTTAATGACCACAGATAAATCGGGACTTCAATTTCAATTTGAACTAAACCCTTTCGAGATGATTTGTCTGGACCTGAAGCAGGATGTCCATGCAAGGAAGCTCTCAGATGCCTCAAAGCAGAAGAGTGCTGTAAGGAGGAATGGACTGAAATCCCTCAAACCAGATATGAGGCACTGATCAACGGCTCCAGGAAACATTTAGTTGCAGTTATTGCTAGTCGGGGGGACCATCAGTTACTGAATCAAAAGGTTTCATACTTTGTCACACAAAGATATTGAATGTTGCATCATTTGAGGATAAGTGAATGTGGAAAGACTATCATGTATGTGTTGTTTGTTTACTAGGGCTTAAGATCTTGTGACATTTTAGATTTCAAATATACGAAATATGTGAAAAGCCTAAGGGGTTCACAAACATTTTCTTCACCCCGGACACATTCGTAAAGGTGACTTTTCTGGATTTCACTTTGAAGCATGAGCGAACAATTCGCCACATTTGTAATGGGAGCATCACAAAAAGACATTGGGTAACGGTGAACAAGCTGTCGAGTCAATGAAACTAGAACATGGGTGGCCACTAAAAAAAATCCAGCAGTTGGTTTTCATCAGCAAACTAGAAGAACAAATCCAGTAGTATCTGGCGATTTGCTGGATATCAAGCTATGCACAGTATTGACTAATCCTTTGATATTCTGCATGTAATACAGGTCAAAGAGTGATGCCCCTGCTTCATTTCAGGCCTATGGAACAGCTGTGGAGAGCTGTCCCACGGAAGGAGGGTCATTCTGTTATACTCAGGTCTTGCTACTTTGCCCTGAACTTTTTTGGTGAGTACTTTGTGAGAAAACACACAAACAAACCCAAAGAAAAATCCTTCAAACTGGTGCCAGTGACCTGGTCAAAGATCTAAGTAGATAAAACTAAATGATACTGTCTGCACAGCAAAGCTGTTAGCAGTACAGGAGATGCACTTCATCTATGGGTTCTGACCTTGTTATTTGATTTCACAGGGAGTTAGGGAGTTTTATTTGTACTCTCCGCCAAAACTGATGAAAGAGCATATAAACCCCACCTCATAATCTTCATGATAAGCTTGAGCTCTACTGTAAAGCAGCTGTTGTGTAGGCTTGTAAATAAGAGCGCGATAATTCACTTAAAATCTCCACCCAGCTTCGGCTCTGCGCTTTCCCTGTTTCCCCCATGTCAGAGCTGTTTTTTTTTAGCTGGGAATCTAATAATCTAAACTGAGGCACAGTGACCCTGAACCTGGCTTGTAAATACCAAGGGCAGTTTTCTTTGTTTAATTTACAGCTTTGAAGAGATTCAAGGGAATGCAACACTACTTCCTTTTTACTTCTCAGACTGGAAGGAGAATTGTGTGTTCTGTCTACCTCTCAAGGTTTCAGTGATTTACCTTAGAGTCTCTGGCTCGCTTAGTCCTAGTTTCTTTTCCCTTTCCAAGGGAGTATGAGTGTTCCCTTTCTAGGTGTGTGAAAAGTGGGGTTATTTACCGTAAACTACGGGCTATTCATATTCAAGAGCCAATTCTTCAATTGATACATATTAATATACCAGTATATACAGTATTTGTATTAAGAAGATCAAGCGTGTCTTCAGCAGCACTCAGGATGCTCAGCCCTGTCTCAGCATTTTAAAAGGCTTCACATATCTGGAGACCTTTCTACAGAGGCATACCTGTACGTGAAGGTAATGTCTGAACTGCATGGGTGATCACATTCATTCCTTTGCTTTTGTTTTCAGCTATTTAAAAAATCTGTTCATGATTTTGAAATGCGTTCAAGCTCACTTGAGTTGTCTCACTTGAGTTCTCCCTTGTCTGCGGCTTTGTCCTCGATCATGACCACCCCCTTACCAGGGATGACAACCTAGAGTTGCTCTCACTTGGAAGTGGAGCTCTGTCTCAGGCAGAAGACATACAGGCTGGAATCACAGGATCTTAGTGGCCATCGATCAACGCCATCCTTTCAGACACCTGCTGCATGTCTCTTTTAAATTATGGCTAAATTGCAGTATATCTTTGCCTTCTCGGACTTGCTCTGCTTTCCCATCCATCATGAATAAAATATCTTCTGTCTGTAGCTTGGGGTTATCAGATCCCTGAGGATTGGAAAATGTGGCCAGGCAGTTCGCATGCCCTCAGTGTTGCCCCTTGGGCAAGCTTAGAATAGATTTTTGAATCAAAGTAAAGCATATCTTTGTTTATAGCTAATGCTGTGCTTTTTCTTAGCACTCATGAGCATTTAGAAGCCAAAATCAGCTGTTCTTGCACAATTGTGCATAAAACCTCCAGGTGCCTTTGGAAAAGTTCTGTCTCCTACTGGGATAACAACCTCAGCCTGTGGCCACTGCCTTAAATCACTTAGGAGGTGCACTACTGCACTCAGCCATCTCTATGTGATGGGCCACATTTTGAGATCTACAGAAACTTTTTTCTTTCCTGTTTGAGTGCTACCATAGAGATTATTTCAAAATGTTATGTCTTTATTCCCAGGTGAGTTTAATCATATTACAATATCATTATCCATTATTATTTATGGCACTAGGGGAATTGTTTTCTCCAACTATAATGGAGTGGTCAGTGACTCATACGTTCTCATTTTAATTCAAACCTGTCACCAACAAAAGGAAATACAGGGGTGGTTGACACGATCCATATCTTTCCAGAGTGAGGGTTACTCAGCTGGATTAGAAACACAGCCACCTGCCCTGACACACCCAGGCTGTGAATAGCTGTGCTTTCTCAGCCATATTAAAAAGAGAGGGGAGGACCATTCATGGGCTTCCTTGTAAAAAGGGTAATTACTAAATTCAAACCCACAGAATGAGCCCACTGGGAATAAGTCATTACTTTTGCACGGGAAAATCAATTGTAACATAAATGAGGGGTGGAGTGTTTCATGTGTTCTTAATCAGCTATACTCCAATAGTGCTGGCTCTACAATGTTCCATCAAAACTCCTACACTATTCTACATAAACACCAAGCTCACAGGCGCATTATACTGCATTTTCCATCTATCAGAGGCCAATTCCCACATTAAATCAATGGGAAACATCTTTTTCCTTTGGAGATTCGTAACATGATCTGCAGTTTAATGGATATATTAGTGTACAGTATATGGCAGAATAAATGTTTATTGAACCACACAGGTGGTTAAAACATACAGTATATGGTGATTAACAATGTGTGCTTTACATGCACTGTCATGTGGTGCTCAGAAAATAATACTGGCAGGCTGTAAATGAAGGAACCTTATAAATGTAGTCATGATAAGCCATGAAGTATTGCTTCATCCGTGGGTTTGGGTTTTACATCTAAATGCATT